ATTTTTTGTATTTTGATGCTATTATAAGTGAAACTTTATCTTTAAACTTTCTAGTTGTATAAAAAAGTACAAATGATTTTTGTAACTAGACTAATATTCTGCTACCTTGTTAAATTCAATATTTATATGACTTTTTTATTTTAAAGAGGATAAAATTAAACATAACGAACCAAACAAAACAAATCATAAGAAAACAATTTAAGAAACCGATTTCAAAGCAAGACCACCAGAGATCTTCACTATCTATCATACTGTCTCTTGTTTTCTTCCAAATAGTTGTCCATATCTTCACACATGAATTCACTAATTCATACCAAACAAAATAGTACTAAACTGATCAGAACAGGATGATGAAGGCATTTTAGGTTTTCAAGACCAGAATATAGGGAAGTCAGCAGTGGCTGCCATAATGTCTCTTGTTCACTTCAAAATAGTTGTCTATACCTTCATGTATGTTGAAATTAAACAAAAGAAAACAGACTAATATCACTCTGGAAATAGAATAATAGTATTGTTACATTTTATATCATGAAGCTATGGAATTAGCACTGGGTGTCTTAGTGTCTCTTCTTCTTCAGAGTATCTGTTCATTACACTGTGCATTATGTAATCTATTCTGGTAAACTGTTTAGAAGTTCTACACATGCGTGAATCTCTACCTGTATACCTATCTTTTCTGTATTAGAGGGAAAAACAAATCAAAACAAGACAACAAAACAAATTCTTAGAAAAACATGAAACGAAAAAGACATATAAAACCACAGTACTAGGTGATCTAGAGTAGTTACTATAAGGTCTCTTGTTATTTTCTATAGAATTGTCCGTGTCATCAGGCATAATATAATTGAATATAGCACTACATGGCAATATTAATAAAAACAAAATATTGGAGACATTATAGGACTTCAAAAGCAATTAATAATCAAACCAGAATAGGTCTCTTATTGCATCTTGTTATCTTCAGAGTAGTTGCCTCTGCTCTTAGACTTGATACTATCAAACATACCAAATTCAAATAAAATCAGTCAAGACAAAACAGTGATCTAACAAACCAGATTCAAATAAGATCAGTCATTGTAAGACAGTGTAAGTAATAAAGGGCTTCAGGTTAAGTTAATAGGAAATTAAGGATAGTTACTATAGTATATCCTGCTATTTTTGGGATAGCTGTCTGTGCCCTCAAATCAAATCTAGTACGAGTAGACTGTAACAGAATAAAATCAAACTAAACATAATGATAAGACTAATGTGGCTTTTAAATTCTGATACACTATGAACAATGTCTTCTGTCTTCCTTTTTTAGACAATTCCTCCCCTTTCTCTTTCTCAGGGTGATTTGCACATTTTGGGTTCCACTAACTCCTTAGTTTTAGATTAGGGGAACAATCTGCTATCTACCTAAGTGGTTCCTAACCTTTTTACCCTGAGCTTGATCTTGAGCTGTATTCTTTTACCTACTACAGCCTAAAAGTTTTCCTTCCTTATAGCTGAGTAGTTCTCCACTGCATAAAAGAGTCATGACTTTCCAACCTATCTGCAGCTGCTGGATGAGCTGTCCCTATTTCTCTCTGGTTCCCTGTCACATAGAGCATTGATTTCTCATCTTTGACTTTCAGTTCATTAACCCTCTTTCAGGTAGATTATAATTCCTATTCAGAGCACCTCAATGGACCCTATCTCCTGATCTACTCTGCCTGTGTTTTGTTAGTGTATCAAGGCCATCTGTGTTAGAGATTATAGCCAACTTTCTCTGCTTCATTTCTGGTATGCTATTTTTCTGCCATTGGTTGTCTAATTTTCTCCTTCATTCCACTGTCTGCCCCATTCATTGAGGCTTCTTTGCCACTGTTTCTGGAATCCTGGTGATTTTTTTTCTCTCTCTAGAATGTCCTTCAGTATTTTTTGTAGGGTTGGATTGGTGGTCATGAACTCCCACAGTTACTTTTTGTCATGGAAGCACCTTGTTTCTCCATTAATTTTGAAATACTTTTTTTTTAGGGTACATCAATCTGGGTTGGAGGTTATTTTCTTTCAGGGCTTAGAATACTTTGCTCCAAGCTCTTGTTGATTTGATAGTTTGTGTCAAGAAGTCTGTCTTGATTTTGATGGGTTTTCCTTTATAGGTGATCTGTTTCTTTTCTCTTTTAATATTCTGCTCTTTTTACCACTTTTAATATTCTGTTCTTGTGTTGAATTTCTGGGATCTTGATTATTACATGTTTCGGTGTAGATCTGTTTTGGTTATAATTGGCTGGAGTTCTGTATGCCTCATGTATCTGAATATCATTTCCTTTTCCTTTGCTTTGGAAGTTTTCCTTTAATTATTTCTGTGAATAGCCTTTGTATTTCATTTGTGTTTACTCCTGCTTCTTCACTCACATTTTTTTATTTTTAAGTTATAGATCCTCTTATCATCTTCTAGCCTTTGTATTGTTACTTTCTGGTTCCTTGTTATTTTTAAGAGATCTTTCCTTTCAAGATCACAGATTTCAAATCTATCTTCAAGTTTTGAAAGTCTAACTTTAGTTTCTGTCGAGGAATTTTGCCAGCTTTCAATGGATTTTTAAATTTCCTGGTAATCTCTTTGGATCTGTTTCATATATTCTAGATTTTGTTTATATTCTTCATCAAAGGTTTCTCTCCTTTTTTTGGGTTCTTCCATTCTTCCATCTGTGTCTTCTTGAGAGGTGCTTAGCATTTATTAATCTTCTTATATCTTGCCTCATTTGAATTAGAATTTCAGTTTTAAGTTCGTCTATGAGGTCATGAAGGTATTTCTTTATGTCCACTGATGCTGTGTTCGATATTGCATGTTTGCTGCCCTTGATCTTTTCTGTATTTACCTCTCCTGGACTTATTTTTCCCTGGGTCAGCAGCCAGAGGCTTTTTCTTGTTTCTTTCTCTTGTTATGTTTCTAGTTTCTTTCAGATAGGTATATGGTGGAAGTCTCAGGCCCTTTCCATATTTCTTGCAGTTTTCTGAAGCCTGCTGGCTAGGGGATTGCTGCCCTCTCCAGTTTACTGTTGATCTGTGAGGTGCACGCAGAGACAACGTGAGCTGGCCCTCTCCTTTGAGCCAGTCAACCAGCGAGTGTCTTCAGCATATTAGTCTGTGCTGTGTGGACATCACAGGTTTGGGACAGTTTTGCACTGTCCATTGGGTCCCAACCAGGGGCATGACCCAGCCCAAGCAGATCCCACCAGTTCTCTTTGAGCCTGGAGTGGCCGACTGATGCCACTGCAGTTCTGGGTTCAGGCCCATCCTGCCCAACTCCAATATGTCGTCCAGCCGGTTACCCGCTCTGTGGGACCCAATTCCTAGCCCTCATCAGGAGTTAATGCAACTTTCCCCATTGGTCCCACTCTCTGTTATGCTGCATCCTCTTGCCAAGGGCTCTGGGCTCATCAACCCCCAATGTTGCTGCTACTGTGACTTCAGTGCAACCGTGGGTTGTCTGACTCCAAGGTGCGCCCAGCACAGCACGGAACTGGCTCCAGTGAGAGTGTGTGTGGTTCCAGCCTTTCATCCACGTTTTTCCTTCCTTTTTTTTCTTTTTCTTTTTCCTCAGTTTCTTCTTGGGTCATGAGAATTCCTCTCCTTTTGTCTGGTCTTCTCCATGGTGTTAAATTCTAGTGTCTTAGTTGTTTTCCTCAGAGAGGCTCTCTACCTTGCTACCTAACAATCTGCCATCTTCCCAGAATCCCCCATATATGACTTTTTACCAGGAAGCCATCTGGGAAATGTAAATGTCCTTACAGAAAGATTGTTAATTATGAATCCAACTTCTCGAGATGAGATAGAACTGTTTAGATTTTCTAGTTCTTGAAGTCCATGTAATATTTATTGCCTCTCAAAACATATTTCCAGCTAGCAGCTTCCCAGTGGGCATGCATGTGCCCTCTAGCTAGTTCTCCTTTATTCAGCTCTCTTCTGCAGCCAATAGGAAGCCTTTCTGTCCTGGAACATGTGAAGAGCTATCTCGTCTTGCACCCGCCCTGTACTTACACTTTCATTGTACTTACACTTTCCCTGGCTTTTTGTATGGCCGGTCCTGTTTGGCATCACCTTGTCATAGAGGCTCTTTGACCATCTCCATCAAAACATCTTTTACTTGTTGACTCAGTTTGTCCAGTTGTTGCATGTCCCTCTACACTGCTCTGTGAGATCGAGGCTGAGTCTGGCTGCTCCCCTTTTTATCTCTAGCACTGGGAACACCTAGTCAGCCCTCAGAACTGTGGAGTCAATACAGCACTGAATGAATGAGGAACAGCTGAGGGAGCTCACAGTTTACCCTCTCTAAGGAGGAGGAGGCTTGCAGGGATGAGGTGAAGCCTTGAGGTGATGTGCATACTTCTAATCCCTGTGCCTGGCACCTAGGAACTCAGATAGTGTGATGTCAAGGATGCCAAGTTAAAGTTTGAGCAGGGACATGAGGATAAAACACAGCACGGTGAGCATTAAGATAAGACTACTGGAATTTCACAGGCCAAGCACATGTACTGAACCTCTAAAAATGCCAAGCAGTGAAGATTCTGAAATTTTTGGGAATGAGTTCTTTAAAGACAACTGCATTTTCTCTCTTCTCCTGGTTTTATTAGTAGACAAAATGGGTTGTGGCCAATGACATCCAGTTGTAGCTTCCTCTTCCTGAAAAATCCCTCTTTTCTCACATAGGTTCTGCCTGCAGACCCACCATCCCCACTTGGAGCTGTAACTTACGACTGTAAAGCTGACAAAAGGCAGGTCCCCTATCAGGGGGTAGCTCTTTATATGTCACTTATAGCCCATGTGTAGTATGCATTGAATCTGTGATCCAGTGAGGAGGACGCAGCTTAATCTCTTCTTGAGCATCTAGGTTGGAGAGGATGATGCTCAGACCACCCCAGACAGTCCCAAAGTGGATCCTGATCACCCAGACAATTTTATGCTCATGACTTCCTGATTTTTGGTTTTTATTTTTCCTTGTACCTCTCTTATGCTGCTGCTCCCAGTTCACTTACCTCTTTGTTTATGTATCCGTCTTTATTGATGTCATACAAATTAAATGTCCACCTTAGTTTCTCATGGACCGTTCCTCTCAGTAAAATTGACAGAGCAGTTACAAAATCCTAAGAGGCAGAAAAGGCAGGAGTGACATTAACCACTAAGCTGCTCTGTGGGGAGAAGCTAAGTCTTTGGGTCACTTTCTAAGGTACTTTTGCAGAATGATGTCTCCCATCCCTCTCATTTTCCTAAAGCAAATGGCCAAGCGCCACAGAAAGCTCCTGCATTCCATGGTCTACATTACCCTATTTTAAAAGAAGAAGAAGCATGGAGCTCTGTATGTGCAGACACTGCCAGACACAGTTAAGTACAGCCTCCTCTGTTCCGGCTTAATCCCAAGGCTGCAATGGTTTGCGTCTCATATGCATGGCCATATATTCTATTGGCTACACAAACACCCTGCCTGCATTCACATCCTGCTTTGACCACTTCCTAGCTCTTTGACCTTGTGAAAGTTACTCATTCTTTCTTTGCCTTACTTTCCTCTCCCATAAAATGGTAATAAATAATGCAACCCTACCTTATAGGGTTATTATGAAGATTAAATGAGTTAATAAATGCAAACTACTATGTCCAGAGGCTGCCTCTTGGTAAGCAGTGTACAAGTGAGTCTTTAAACTGCTCGTAGTTAGTCCCTTGAGTTCCCGAGTGCTTGGAGGGCAGAGGAAGTCACTGTGCCTCTCTATCATCAGGAAGTGTTTATTAAATAGATAGTCTTTGCCATGACCAAGAGGATTCAGCCTTCTCTTAGGACCCTGAAATTTAGAGGCAGAGGTGATGCAGAACCAGGGGACTCCCAGAGTAGACCCAGGAGATGGCATACCTCGAATTTCACGGAGCCTGTCTGGGTGGTGTCAAAGGCATTGAAGAGGTAATGGGCATAGGTGCTGGCATCTGTAAGGTAGAAAGGGCAGAACAGGTGAGGGTTGCAGAGGACCCGTGGTATGGGGGAAGGGTGACTTAGAAACAGAGGCGGGGCTTTGAGCAGACAGAGAAGAGTGCGAGAGAAGAGAAAATTATAGAGGCTCCTGGGGTTACTCAGCCCCTGGGGTTTAGGTGGGAAATTATTGCTGGCAGGAGGTGAGACAGGCCCTTACCCCTGCATGTAGACATCTGGAGAGAATGGGTATCCTGCCTGTGTATGCGTGTGAGCTCTGGTGGGTGAGTGACATGGGGACTATGTGGTGTTTTGAGCAGCAGTGCAGAGACATGGAACGAGCATTTATCCGAAGCAGAGATCTAAGCCTGGGTCTCAGCTCTATGCCTGTAGGGCATCTAATGCAACCTCTCTGAGCATCCATCTATATTTATGTATGGTGGGATATAACAAGATCTGTGTCCTGAAATTTTTGGAGAACTATGTAAAGGCCATGCCTATCACATACTGAAAATTCAATAAAGAACAGTTCAACAGAACTCAATAAACTGTAATCCTGGTATGTGCATGAGACCAGGGTGCTTCCCCTACCTTGAGCAGGGGGCCCTGCACTGGGAACCACTCCCAGGGGTGCACCTGTCAGCTGCTGAAGAGGTCTAAGTTAAACAGGGCCTGAGAAATGCTTGGGACACTTGGGACTTTAGGCCCCAGGAAAGGAGTTTGACAGCAGATGGGCCTGGGGCACCTGATAGAAGGTGGCACCTAACACCTGGAGATCACAGAAGAAGTTACTGGGGAGGTCCACAGCATCCGGGCCACAGCTGATTCCCAAAGGAGTCAGGCAGACAGCAAAGCAGGTACCATGGGCTCAGTCCCCTGGCTATCCTGTCTTTATAAGTACAGCTTCATGCTCTGTACATCTTTTTGGGTTTGTTTTTATAGTCTCTAGTATTTGCTTAAAATTCTTTTTCAACATTCCAGCTTGTCTGAGGCACTTTAAGGGAAAGAATAGGAAGAGTGTGACACAACAGATGAGCCAATGTGGCAAGGTTTTGCCCAGAACATTTATTGCATATGTCTGTCTGCCCTGTACTAGCTGTGTGATCTTGAGTAAGCTGCTTAATGTCTCTGAAACTCAGTTGTTTCCTCTGGGATCATACTTGTTTTCTAGAGCTTTTATGAGACTTTATAATATTAAATTATCAATCTTTTCTTCCTTCCCAAGTGGTTCTATTTGCATAGTGATTTCCTGCTAATGCTTTAGAGAATTCCACAACATATAATATAAGGGAAGTCTCTTGCTGTGAATTCTCCTCCTACCTTGAAGGGGAGGCAGATAAAAAGGAAGAGCATACTTAGGGGAAAGGAAGGTTGCTCACTACAGAGGGCTGCAACGACCTTTGCCCAAGTCCGACTTACCTCCATGAGGGAAAAACTGAGCGTAGATCTGCTTGAATGTTTCTTCGTTGACTGCACCACTGGGACACTCCTGTAGGAAGGGAGAGAGAAAGAGTCGTGGGAGGTGTCTGGGGGCCACACCAGGGGCAGGGATGGGATCCAACCCTAGGTCTAGGGCTCCTCATGATCCTTGTGGGCAGGGACTGTGCAAGAAACTGCATTTCTGTGTTTCCAAGGTGGAGATCTGGGAGATGATCCCACCATGGGATTGCAACTGCTTAGCAACATGGAGAGATTTCATCAGAGGAGGGACCTCTGAGCTGGAAGGAATTGGGTATTGAAGATGAGAAGATCTGGGGTAAGCCACTTCTAAGCTTTGTGACTTCAGCCACATCAGTTTCTGATCCTCAGTATCTTTACCTGAAGAATGGAGCTCAGAGTACCTTCCCAGCAAGGGTAACAGGAATTTAATATCTCAATCTTTGTTAAGTGGTGCCAAGTTGCAGTAGATGCCAAGCAATGCTGAGTCTTCTCTTTTCGGGATGTTTTTTCCTCTCAGTCCAGTACCCAAGGGCAACCCTCCCAGCCAGCTTCCCACTGCTATCACTGCCTCCTCAAGATGAAAAGGAAAGAAGCCCTAATGGTAGCAAGCCAGGAACATGAAAGGCACAGCTGAAGCTGTAGGAGCAGGCAGGCACATCCTGGAGTTTGTCAGATGACTTCCAAGATGTGTATGAATCGTGATCAACTTGCATCTTGGGGAACAGAGACCATAGTCACTTTGGAATTGACCAAACTCTAGCTGCAGGCTGTGAGTAGAGGAGTGTGACCAGAAGCACCTCCCTCTATCCCACCCACCCAAGTATTTTGGAATTTAACTGTTATGAGATTTAAGCTTAAAAAGTTCAACATCTGAGAGCTCACAAAGTAGTCTGAGAAGGTAGAGATATACTCATGAATATGAAGCAACTACTAACTCCCAGGCCTCTGAGTATATATTGGAGTTTAACTTGCTTTCCTCTGTAATGCACAGGAATGGAAGGTCCCAGCAAGAGGAGGAGTGTCTGCTTGGTCTATTTTCATGGTCAACTAACACAGTGGCCATTCAGGCTTACAAATCAGATTATGTGAGTGAGTAGAGATGAATCTTGCTATTTTGGAGGTACCAATCTCATTGAGAGTGTGAATGTATTATGTTCAGCCTGGCTCCTGCACCAGGGCAAATTCTCCAAAGTCACATTATCCTGTGAAGGTTCTGTGTAGTGGGCCAGCTTTCTGTCCACTGAGATGGCCTTGTCCTTGATCTAGAGCCCTGCTTTCTCATCAAACGATCTTGCTCTCAAGTCTCCTTTATAGAGATAGCCTTCCGTATACAACTGCATAGCTGGGAAGCTCCCTTTGCATTTGGGAGAGTTTTGCTTCCAGTGGGAAATCCCATTGGAGTGAGAGCCTATGTGGGTCTTACATTTTTGAAGCCACGATAAAGGACTTGCAGCTCTCTCTTGGTGAAGTTGGTCTGGGCCTCAAGTTGCTCCAGTCCCTCAGGTCGGTGGCAAACCATGGTCATCTCCAGCTCATCTTCAATCTTATCTGGAACCAGAGGAGATGGCATTGGAGTGTGACCTTGGGCACTCTGGCCAGACTACAGTGACATGACAACCTATGACATAGGGTGTTAGCCTAGGGCTGTAATGCCAGTGACCTTGGACTCTTCTCTCCTGCCCAGTCTCAGTCTTGAGAGCTGTCCATTCTCTTACTCTAGTTGTGACAGACATCCAAAGAGAGAAGAGTCACCATCTAAGATACGTGCAGAAATGCTCAAAACACATCCACACGAAAACCTTTTTTCCAAACTTCCCTTTCTACATATTTGAATTACTTCCCACTGAATCTCTTGAATATGCAACCGTAGTTCAGTGAGCATAAAGATAAAGACCCTCAAAACAGGAAAGGAGAACAAATCTACTAAAAACAGTAAGCTCTCATCATGTAGGCTGATCAGGGAATGATTATCACAACTTAGTAAAAAGTTCAAATTATGGGATGTTAAATATTAAAAATTCTGAATGGTGGCCTGGGGATCTAGCTCAGTGGTAGATCACTTGTGTAGCATACACAAGGCCCTGGGTCTAAGTCCCAGCACCACAAGTCAAACAAAATTCTCAATGCATTTTATAGTATATTATTTATAACGTCTTCCAGATGTCCTTGAATTTTAGGAAAATGACTTCATTGAGGGGCTACTTTGTATCAGTAAAAGCTTCCAAGGCATTAGAAGGATCTTAGAAACAGCTGAAGCATAGGTATTACAAGGTGATATCACAATAATTGTTTAGAAAATATCCATCAACTGAAGAAAGAAATCTGCCCATCTCCCATTAAAGGATCACAAAGTTCACAAATCAGTGATATTTTCCATGTTTTATCATCACAGAGGGATGAGTGCTTTCTTTTGAATCTTACCAGAATGTTTTTAAAATTATTCCAATCAAGAATAAATTGCATTTGTAATCGTCTATAGCCGCCTGGGATCATAAGTGAGGCTTTGGGGAAGTGATAGGATCGTGGGTCATGATGCTTAGGAGCAGACTAATTCACTGATGAGTTTACAGCTAAGTGTGACTTGGGAGGTGAAGCCTGGTTGGAGAAGGTGGTCATGGAGGAGCGGCTTAGAAGAGTCTGTCTCCCTCCTTCCTCCCTGATCCTTCTCTCTGCTCCCTGCTGGCCTGCCAAGAACAGTTGTCCTCAGCCATGCCTCTCTGCCCTCTTTCCCTGGCTTGGAGCCAGCTGGCTAAGTACTGAAACCTCTAAAAATGGTGAATCAAAGTAAACCTTTCCTCCTGTAAGCTGTGTGCACCAGGTATTATGTTCCGGTGATGAGAAAAGTGATTAAGAGACCATTTAACCTTCTTTCTCTGTCACTGTCATGCTGACAGTGTCACATCCATATACTGAGCAATTCTAAATTTTGGCTTGCAAAATACTACTGCAATGGGCAGGGTGTTGGGGACAGACACAGACCATGTATAATCCCATGAGAGTGAAAGGAAGGACAGGCCGAGCATCTACAATCGAGAACAGGGTGAGCAGGTAAACTTAGGCATTTCTCTAATCAGGAGTTGGTTTCTTTTTGCCAGAATTTCTCTGCTATTCTTGCCTTTTCTTTTGAAACCTTGATCCTAATATGAAAGGAATCCATTAAAGTAAGTTTGTATCTTGTACATATTCCCAAAAGTAATGGATATTTGGGAAAGGCTCCAATAACATGGTAACAATTCCAAATTGTTATCTTTCTTATTTACTGGGCAACACATATCACCTGATCCTGCTGGGAGTAAGGCAGATGGTTCAGTATAAATAAGATACTCTGTTTATACAATGTAGCGGCAAGTGGCCAATTTTCTCATAATTCTTACAGTGCCTTTAATTATTGTTGTGTTTGTAGCTAGTGAGTTAAACAGCAATTATAACACTGAAACATTTCTATGTAAATCAAAGGGCCAATCTCCAAAAGAAAAAGGAAAAAGGAAAAATTTCCACCTTGGTCTAACTCAGAAAACTCACATGAGGTGACAAGGAAACTTAACTGTCAACTTGACAGACTTAAGAGATGCCTAGGGAATTACACGCAGTTCTGGTATGTCCGGGTGAGTCATAGAGATGTGACCTTGGGGTCTATGTCTGGTCCCCTGCTCCTTCCTCTCTGGCACTCATCCTCACTTCTGATTTCTGGCCACTGTGAACTAAGCAGCTTGTCTCTTCTATCCCCTTCTGCCATGAGGTTTCTGCCTTGTAGTCAGCCAGATATAGACTGAACCCTCTGGAACTGTGAGCTAAATGAAATCTCCTTCTTTAAGTTGTGAGTGTTGGGTATTTGGTGCCAGAAGTGGGAAAGCTGATTAACATATACATAATTTATGTATTTTAAAACTAATTTTAAAATAGAAAATAATAGTTGGTTTAAATCTCTTAGCATTAAATCAAATGCACTTTAATAAAAACGTACACACTTTTAACTGTGCATATGTCTTACAAATCTTCATAAGGAGCTGTAGAGGTTCTTGTATCCCTTTTATTAGCGCTCAAGGATTCTCTCTGTGGGCTTCCTAGGTAACTCCAATAAAGGAATAATAATAAGCAAGATCATATTAAAATATAAATAAGCAAAAGGAAATATTTATCATTGGAAGACAGGATGTATATTTGAAAGTGTCCAGTTTACCTGTCAAGGTTTATCTTATTCTGAAGCACAAAATATTTTTATAAGAATATTCTGATTCTTCTTGTTATTCCTGATGCTCAGGGAATTTTTTTGTTTTGAAGAAGTTTGAAAGACTTTTTCTGATTCAGAAACACTTGCTTCTCAACACCTTTATTAAAATGTGCTAAGTAATTACAGAAATATCAACTGGTAAAGCCATTTCATTAACTTTGAACTGGACTCTATTAATAAATGATTTGCTTGCTATCAGGCCAGCAGGATCAATTTTCATATCAGATGGATTATGTCATACTGGAATATTTGAATTTTGATGGCCAAGCTCTTGTTTTATTTTGATTTTTTCATCATCCTGTAATTGTCTGTCTGTGATAACATCAGTGATAGAAGGAAATTAGCATCAGTGAGGTCAAGACACGGGGAAACAGTCTCCTTGTGGATATTAGAGGCCTAAATCAGTACCTTATAATAAAAGCACAATACAACATACAAATAAATATAAGCAAAAATTTCATGAAATAATTATGTCTCTCACAAATGTAAGATGTACTCTATTCTCACATGTATTCCTGTGTGAACTTGTGCTGGTGGTGACCATCAAAAATCATGACTTTTATTTGGAAAATACTGATTTAACTCATTCTACAGCTGTGGCAACCTTCCTGGGGTGCCTGCAGGTGGGCGTTGCCTCTCCATACTGGCTCTCTCTTCCCTTTTTTTTTTTTTTTTTTTGTCTTTTTCATTTTTATCGGTACCAGGGATCGAACTCACGACCGCCTGCTTGCAAGGCAGGTGCTTATGCCGCTGAGCTAAATCTCCAGCCCCCTTTCCCTTTCTTTGTAGCTTCATGATTTTGGCCACTGTAAATATATTCAGAAGAAATATCAAGAGAGGCTACATTAGTTTTCACATCCTGTCTATCATCCTTCAAAAATTTTCTTGAAGTTGCCCAGGGAATCTCAGTAAAGAGAGGAGGCTGGCCCTGCTCCCGGGCAGGAGAAAAAGAACACAGAATTAAAACATGGGAAGATTCTTTGACAATTTCTTTTGAGAGCTGCTAAGAGTCATTAATGCCAAATGTTTCTTGTTATTATTTTAATTATTAAAAACAATGATGAACCAGTTATTAAGTCTGATTTAGTTTGGATGATATATATTAAAATTAGTCTACAGATTTAAAATTGTGGAAATTATTACATTATGCATTAAGAATCACTTAGAATGACTTCTCTTTACAAATGTCTATAAAGTGTTTCCAAGCAAATTTGTATGTGTGCTAGAAAGTGGGAGGATTCTAGTCCTCCTTATCTTAATATTTAGAAAACATATCCTAGCAGATAAGGTGATTGTATAATGATAAGTGACTCACAAAGTGACGAATGTTTATCCTTGAGATGAATAGAACAATGAGCTGTAGATAGTGCTGTACCCAAAATTCTCAGATGGAATAGTAGATGATTCAGACTAAATAGCTCTTAATATTTTAGGGTTCCAGACCATTTTAAGTGTGGAATGAAGGCTTTTGACTTTCTCAGAATAAAAAAAAAAGAATAATAATAATACTAATGCGGCACTTTTAATGAATTCTTTTAAACACATGGAGTCTATGCTAATGACTTGCTAGTTTAGAGATATCTTTCAAAGTTTCACTAACTGGTTCTGTGTGAATGTTAGGTCATATAAGAAATCAGTGACAAAGCTGGACCTCAAATCCAGCCAGGCCACTTCCATCATTAGATCTGGTTTCCATGTGCCTCCAGTGGCTTTTGCTTCCCTTGAGTGCCAACTACAAAGTGGTTTGTAACCAGCTTCACAGTGATCTTCCTGTCAAGCAGGGGCTGTGTACAAGTAAGGCCCTTGGCTGGGCAGTGGAAGGACCCAAGCCTTTGGTCTTCTCCCCAGCTAGGTGTTTCTTCTGTCGGACTTCTGCCCAAAGACTGTGATCATATCCTTTTCCCTGGACTGGAAAGTAATTTCTTCAGCACAGTGTCTCTAGATTGGACTTTATACCCAATCATTTATGAGTAGTTTGGAGGTTACAAAGTGGTGAGCCTTCGCCTGAACTTGGTCTAATGATAGGTGTTAATGTTTAATGATCAGAGATTTATGTGCAAGTTTGGCTTCCTCTCTTCTTGGAAAATAGGATTCTTTGAAAACTCAGGCTCCAATTCTCACAGGGGAACTGTCCTCTAGAGCTGTGCATGGCTCGTTACTTCAGGAAGCCAGAGCCTTAGGGCTCCTTTCTCTCTTTGACTTTTTGAATTCATTTTTTTCTGTCTGTCTGGCTCCAGAGTTGAGTTTTGGGTTCTTGATCACATCTACTTACTCTCTCACCCATCCATCTTTGCCCTACTTTAACCACATAATACAT